CCAACCCTGCCCTCTGGCAATGAGAAGTTATTCCCCATCACTCCAGGCCCTCTCCATTTTTCCTCTTGGCATCTCCACAGCTCACACAAGCTCAGACAGGTTTGCTGGGACCTCCCCCTTCCTTCCTGCTCTGCTCCAAGCAACCTCCACAAACATTTCCTCATTCCTCCTCACCTTGGCTGGCCACAAACGCCTCTTCCACTTGCAGAGAATGAGCTCTTGGTCAGTCATGGCTGAGCTTCACGTGGAAAAGGGCAATGCCAAGGTGTTCTGAGGGGAAAAAAAAAAAGGGAATAAAGGAGTCACCCACCTTTTTCCATTGCAGTCTTTGTTTTTTGAAGGAAATACAAGATTTAATCAAACATATTACTACAGTTATTATCGCTTTACCTTCGGGATCACTGCACTGATATCACCCTGCAGCTTCTCCAGTATTGTATCTTAAATTCCATTTTTCTGTAGAAGCTGTGGCTGCCCCATCCCTGGAAGCGTCCAAGGCCAGGTTGGATAAGGTTTGGAGCAACCAGGGATGGTGGAAGGGATGGGACTGGATGGGCTTTAGGTCCTTCCAACCCAAACGATTCCAGGAATCAAGAATTCCATAATTCTAGAAGCACAAGTGGCTCTCACTGTGTGAGGAAAATACTATCAGCAATTACACAATGCAGCCGTGGGCCTGCCCAATCCACAGCTTCCTGCAACCAAACCCTGAAAACAGGGAACTACACCCTAAAAAATAACGCGCTCGATAGACTTTTTACACCGTCATTTGATCCCCATTTTTACAGACGATTTGCAACAGAAACCTCAGCAGAGCGGCCTTAGAGCCCTCAGGGCTTCCTCAAGGGCTTTAAAAAAACCACATACTAAAGATCTTCCTGTACTTACAAGGTCCAGGTGCTGGGATGGCCGCTGCTCCGGGATCGCGGCCCTGCGGAGGGAGAGAAGGACGAGGGGCCGTTAGCGGCGCCCGGAACGGCGGAGCCGGTGCGGGACCGGTGCGGGACCCCCGTGAGGCGGCGCGGAGACAGCGGGAACCGCCCGGCCCCAAAAACCCACGTGAGGGGAGGGACGGGACCGCACGAACCCGCCCCGGCACCGTGAGGGGAGGGACGGGACCGCACGAACCCCCCCGGCACCGTGAGGGGAGGGACGGGACCGCACGAACCCCCCCGGCACCGTGAGGGGAGGGACGGGACCCTCCCCTAAACCGCCCTTGGTGAGGGGAGAGACCCCCAGAGTCCCGTACTGGGTGAGGGACAGGACAGGGCCCGCAAAGCCGAACCGGTGAGGGGAAGAACGGGACGGGACTCTCCGTCCAGAGCCGCCTCCATTAGGGACGGGACACCAAACTCCCCTCCGGGAGGGATGGAACCGTCCTAGCGCTCTGTGAGGGGAGGGACGGGACCCCCCCAAAACGCCTCGGGGAGGGGAGGGACAGGACCCTCCAAAAACGCCTCGGGGAGGGGAAGAACGGCACCCCCCAAAACGCCTCGGTGAGGGGAACAACGGGACCCCTCAATACCGTCCCGTCAGGGGTCGCCCCCCTCACCTTCCCTGCTGAGGGGAGGGACAGGACCCCCCTAAAACGCCTCGGTGAAGGGAGGGACGGAGCTTCGCCCGGTCAGAGGACGGGCGGGACTCCCAAACATCAGCCCCGGTGCCGGTGATAGCGCCCAGACCCTCGTCTCCCCCCCGATCCCGCTTTAAGGCCCAGGGGGCTTGGGGGGCACCGTTACCGTGCGCGCTCCCGACAACGCCGCCCCCCGTGCGCGCCGCCGCCGCCCCCCTCCACACGAGGGTCTGCGCACGCGCCGCGCGCGCCGCCCGGCACCGCCCACCCGGACCAATCAGCGAGCGCCGCCTGGCGCCCCGCCCTCCTCGCCGAGGCCAAAACACGAGGCTCATCCAATCCAAACGCGCGCTGCTACCTTAGCCACGCCCACCCGTCTTCTATTGGCCAGTTGGGCGGAAGCCGCGCCTAGTCTGGGGAGGGCGGCATGGCAACGGGGCGAGTGACGTCATATGCAGGAGCTGTGACGTCATGTGGCGGTTTGGGCTGGCCGGACCTCAGAGCCCGGCCATGGGCAGGAACAGCGTTGCGAAAAATGCGTATTTTATGATCGGCTTTTGGCAAATATTCAAATGAATATGATACGTGTTATGTTAGGGTTATGCTGTATTAATTTATGTATTAAATTATGCTGTATTAATTATTTAAGTAGTGGGTTAAATATAGTTTAGGTTATAACATCATGTAACTATGTATGTGGGATTTTTTTTTAAAGAAAGGAATGAGGTACTCGCACCAGATAGCAGCCAATCACTTGTTTTTAAAAAATTTTAAAGGTTTAATGATAATAAAATGGTTATAAAAATAGCAATGTAATTAGAGTAATAATAATTTGGACAGTTTGGATTAGGACAATATGAGACAATAAAACAAAGAGTTATGGACGTCCAGGTACCTCTTTCTGGGCAAAATAAGCCCGAGAAAGGACACACATTAACAGAGGATTAACCCTTAAAAGCAACAGCCTGTTGCATATTCATACAGCTCATGCATGATGCATCAATTCCATTCAAACACAGGATTCTGTCTGGTCAGTGTCAGCTTCTTCCTCTTAATCCTGAGGTATCTTCAGGGCTGAGCAAGGCAAGAAAAAGTTAATTTCTTCTGATAATGGGCAATAAATTCTCTTTCTCTGAAAGATTTAGGTGTCCTGTGGCTGCCATCTGGTGTGAGTACCTCCTTCCTTTCTTAAAAAAATATCCCACATGCATAGTTCCTATTTTAACTGCAAAAACTACCTTTGAACTACAGAACTTCATTTACCCCCCCTATAACAATGTTAATACAGCACTACAAATCAATACAACAAAACACATATAATAAAAATCTGCATAGAGCCATATAATGTGCACTTTTCACAAATTAGTTGAACTCCATCTTCTTTAAAAACTCACTTCCTTATCAGCTTAGAGCACCAACCCGTTCCATCCCAAATCTTTAGATTTTTAAGGAAAACAGTGAACACGGAGCCCACACTCAGAGGTTGGATGCTTTATTCACTGTCTCTACTCGGTCATCAACACCTGGCTGGCAGAACTGTCACCACCACACTGCAGCACTCACTCAAACACACTCTGCAAACAGACCAAAATGCACCTCCCCACCAGGAAACACTCCCCACCAGGAATGGTTTTTTTCCCATCTTTAAATACAGATACCTGTGGAATAATAATAATAAGAAGAAATAAACTCCAGTTCTGGTTTGGTTTGCAGGCCCCCTCCTTCATCCTTCCACTGCTGGAGATAGTTTGTGTAATTGATTTGTCAAGTGGAATTCCCATTTTACTGGGAATTCTGCAACTGTTCCTCAGCCTCTTCCCTGCTCTGCAGGCTCTGGGGGTGCCAGCCTGGCCCTGTAAGGGGCTTTAATCAGCATTTTATGTCAAAGGATAGAAAATAGTCTTTAAAAGCTGTGTTGGGGAACAACAAGGCAGGGTTCAGGTCCAATGACACAACACAGAGCTGGAGCTGAGCACCCTGCAAGGCTCAGCCCTCAGGGCTGGGAAAAGGAGAGGGGAAAACTCCTGCCAAAAATGCAAAGAAAAAGGGGGAATTTCCCTGTGCTGCAGAGCCCCACGGGATCAGGGGCTTCATTTCCCCCTGGGACACCTCTCTGGGCAGCTGCTTCCCCACAAAAGAGCAGCTCAAGTTCAAAAAGTGCAGCTCTGGCCAAAGCCCCTCTTGAACACCCCATTTCTCTGCTGCCTTTGGCTCCCCAAACCCCACTGAGCTCCGGGGTGGATCCTCCTCACTCTGAGCTGCTTTGATTTCTGTTTGTGCTGGAGAAAAACCCCAAACCCATTTTTCCTCCCCCTGCTCTGACCTCAACCTCCTGCCCCTGCTCTGTCACCCTCAGGTCCGTCACTGCTGCATCACCTTTGGCAAAACATCCAATTTTGGGTTTGTTTTTTTTTTTTTGCCCTTCCCGTCCCAGCTGCTCAATTCTGCCCCCCCATCCTGGGGGAGTGAACCTCCTGTCCAAATTTGATGGGATTTTTACCCTGAACACAGCGTTCTGAGCCCAAAATGTGGGGGTGCAGGTCATGGTTGCTGCCTTAGGGCTCAAGCCTGGCAGGATCCCAGCAGCTCTCTGCAATTCCCACATGGAATATGGCTTTTGCTGGATGCTCACTTGCTCTCTCTATTAAAATCTGTAAATGGTCACCTTTTTTCCTGCCTTAAAAATAAAAATAATTGTCAACAAGTTTGTCTGCTGATTTCGTTAAAAAATAAAAATTAAAAAAAGGTATAAACTCACTGATCTCCCTCAGGGAACAGCAATTGCATGGCAAAAATCTCACAATATTCAAATTCCTGTATTAGAATTGTGTCAATCCTGACCTGGAATGCCAAGGGGAGGCTGGACCAGCATTCCCAGTCTGTGACCACCCCACCACCACCAGCAGGGATCCACAGCAAGGCTGAAGGTGGGGAACACCCCAAAAAACACAACCCAGGGCTCGGGAATGACAAGGGCAGCACTGGCATGGGCTGTTCTCCAGAGAGGATTGAACATTTGGGGGTCAAAGGCTCCTAAAACCCCTCCTAACACAGCAGCAGCCCCACAGCTGGGCTGGTGACAGCGCTGGACATGTCACAGCTATGGCAGAAAAATAAAAAACAAAACCAACTTTCAGGATTATTTACAGGAACCCCTTAAAGACAACTCGCTGCCTTTGCAGGGAAAGGTGGGAGAAATCCTCTTTGTGCCTCGATTTTTGGGATCTTCCCAAACCATGGTGGCCCAGACTGCTGCAGAGTGGGAAGAAAAGTCACTGCCATGTCCCCTCAGCTGGTGGGGACAGACAGAGGGACAGCGAGCGGGGCTGGCAGGACACGACACGAGGATGTCCCAGGACGTGACACAAGGATGTCCCAGAGCCCAGAGCAGCAGCCAAGGCTCGGTGGTGCCACCACTGTGGGGCTGTTAGCTGTCACACGCAGGCCCTGGCACGGCCACCGGGGCCACCACGGCGTGGTCACTCTGGACCATGGACATTGGGGCCACATCGGGGTGGTCACTCTGGAATATGGTGGGGTGGTCACTCTGGAACGCGGCCACTGGGCCCAGGGTGGGGTGGTCACTCTGGAATGTGGCCACCGGGGTCACATTGGGGTGGTCACTCTGGAACGTGGTGGGATGGTCACTCTGGAACGCGGCGGGATGGTCACTCTGGAACGCGGCGGGATGGTCACTCTGGAACGCGGCCACCAGGCCCAGGGTGGGGTGGTCACTCTGGAATGTGGCCACTGAGGCCACAGTGGGGTGGTCATTCTGGAATGCAGCCACCGGGGTCACATTGGGATGGTCACTCTGGACTGTGGTGGGGTGGTCACTCTGGAACGCAGCCACCGGGCCCTCAGTGCAGTGGTCACTCTGGACCGTGGCAGGGTGGTCACTCTGGACCGTGGCCACCGGGCCCACATCGGAGCGGTCGCTCTGGACCATGGCAGGGTGGTCGCTCTGGACCGTGGCAGGGTGGTCACTCTGGACCGTGGCCACGGGGCCCACATCGGAGCGCTCGCTCTGGACCGTGGCAGGGTGGTCACTCTGGACCGTGGCAGGGTGGTCACTCTGGAACGTTCTGAGCTCCGTGCCGGCCCTGGCACTGCCGTTCCCCGCGGGCTGGGCCAGGACCCGGGGTCCCCCCTGGCCGCGGCCGCTGCGGGAGCAGTCGTGGTGGCCGTGGTTGCCCAAGCGGCTGGAGGCCACCACGGCTTTCATGGCAGCCTGGGAGAGGGGCAGAGGATCAGGGAATTGTGGAATGTTCCGAGGGGATCACCCAGCCCAAAATCCTGGCCTGGCCCAGGACACCCCAACAATCCCACCCCACAATCGCATCCCCACAATCACATCCCCACAATCGCATCCCAAAAATCCCAATCCCATCCCCACAATCCCATCCCCACAATCCCAATCCCGCCCCAAAAATCCCGCCCCAAAAATCCCGCCCCAAAAATCCCGCCCCAAAAATCCCGCCCCAAAAATCCCGCCCCAAAAATCCCGCCCCAAAAATCCCGCCCCAACAACCCCACACCACAATCCTGGCACCACAATTCCATGTCCCAACAGTCCCATCCCAGCAATCCCATCCCCACAATCTTACCCCAAAAATCCCACCCCCACAATCCCATCCCCACAACCCCACTCCAAAAATCCCATCCCCACAATCCCAATCCCATCCCAACAATGCCACCCCAAACTCCTGCAGCCGTGGCAGCCTCAGGTTGAGGGAATTCAGTGCCCAGCACACTCAGGGGAGGAACCTTTCCCTAAAATCCATCCCAAAAATCCCCTGGCACTGCCCCAAACTGTCCCTCAGTACCCAAGAGGGTGCTGCCCTTCCAGGCCATGGATGGGGACAGTTATCTCTGTCGCTTTGATTTTTTAAGATTTTCTAAGTTTTTTGATGTTTATGCATTTTCGTAACAAACTTTTCCCCACCCTTTTTGTAAATAACTTCTCATTTTGCATTCTTTTATGGAAAAAGGGAAATTTGACAGACTGTTGGTTTGTTTCGTGTCATTGGAGAGGCGGCACTTTTACTTTTTAATCCACTGTAACTTTTAGAAATCTATGAAATGTCAGAGGCAGAAAATAAACTTCCCTTTCCAATGTCCCCTCCCTGTGCTGTCACACGTCCCTGATGGTGCCAGGTGTCCCCTCCTCACCTTCAGTTTCCTCCTGGCATTGAATTCCTGCAGTTTCCTCTGCGTGCTGTCCATGTGAGCGAATTTTGCTGCTTTCCCAGTGACCCAGGGGTGCTGCAGGGCCTGGTGAACCGTCAGCCTCTTCTGGGGATCCAAAACGATCAATTTCCTGACCTGAAGGCATCAAAATGGCTATTTTTGGTTATTTCGTAGTAATTCGCAGTAAAATGAGGATGATTGTAATTAATATATAATATATAAATCATAAAATCAAATGAATCATCAAAATAATCATAATAAATAATAAAATTTATCATAACAAATAATAAAATCAATAATAAAAATAAGGAAGAAATAAAGAAGTAAAAAGAAAGAAATAAGAAATTAAACAGAAAGAAATAGAAAATAGAAATAGAAAGAAATAAAATTAATCATAAAATCAATAATAAATTAATATTTTTAATCAAAATAATAAATTAAATTAATTAATCATAAAATCAATCATAAAAAATAAGGAATAAATAAAGGAAATTAAAGAAAGCAAGAGTGCATCATAATAAATAAATAAATAATGAATTCACACCAAAAAAATTAATAGAATTGTGTAAGAACTAAATAAATTTGATTAGATAAATATATGTAGTAAATACATGAAAATAGAAACATGAAATGCAAGAAATAAAAAATATGTGCTTAATAAATGAAAAGAAATAAACAAATGCAATAAATGAAAAAAAAAAATCATAAAATAAGTGAAACCAATAATGAAAATAGTGACAAATAAATAAATGAAATTTTGTCATAAATAAATGAAAATTTGTCATAAATACATAAACCCATATATAAATAAATGTGATAGATAGATAAATAAATAGCATTAAAGAAATTAATAAATAAATAAAATTAAAGAAATTAATAAATAAATGGCTAGAAATTAAATCTTAAAATAAACAATTGAAATGTCATAAAGAAACAAATTAACTAATAAATAAAGGGATAAAAATGAAATAATAAAAGAAATCATAAACAGGTGGAAGAAATAAATAAAACCAAATAAATAAATAAATAAAGATAAAGTAAGGGAGAAGAAAAGAAAGGGAAGGGAAGGGAAAGGAAAGGGAGGAGAGGAGAAATGAATTAAAATAAAATAAAGTGACATAAACTAAAATAAATAAGATAAAAATAAATTAGAATAAAATAAAATAAAGTAGAAAAATGAAATAAAGTAGAAAAATAAAATAAAATAAAGTAGAAAAATAAAATAAAATAAAATAATAAATTTTACAGTTTGCCAAGCCCAGCAGTGCCTCACTCACCAGGTCCTTGGCGTTTGGGGACACCTCGTCCCACCAGGGGGACACGAACTCGTAGTCGCAGGTGAGGATGCGGCCGTACATGTACTGATCCCCCCGCGGGTCAAAGAAAGGCTCGAAGCCACAGAGCCTGGGGGGACAGAGCCGTGGGACACGGTGCCACCATCCCTGCCACCCCCCTGTCACTGTCACATCCCCTGAAAAATCCCTTCCCCAGGATTCCTTCCCTTGGGAAGCTGAGGAGCCTCAGAGGAAAATGAGAACAGTAATTTTCTGCTTGCTTCGCCTGTGTTTTGCTGCTCTGGAATGTGGTCTGGAGATTATTTACTAATTAGTCATTGTTTGATTGGTTTCATGTGAATTGTTTTTATTTAATGACCAATCACAGCCAGCTGTGTCTGGAAAAAAAAGTCACAGGTTTTCATTATCATCCTTGTGAAGCTTCCTGATGCATCCCTTCTCTATTCTTTAGTATAGTTGTAGTACAGTATTTATTAATATAATATAATATAATATAATATAATATAATATAATATAATATAATATAATATAATATAATATAATATAATATACATTTATAATATACATTTATAATATAAATTTATAATATAAATTTATAACATAAATTTATAATATAAATTTATAACATAAATTTATAATATATATTTATAACATAAATTTATAAGGTATATTTATAATATTATATTTCTATTATATTGTATATACACCATAATATATATTTCTATTATATATACTATAATAGATTATTATATTATATTATATTATATTATATTATATTATATTATATTATATTATATTATATTATATTATATTATAGTATATTATATTATATTATAGTATATTATATTATATTATATTATATTATAGTATATTATATTATATTATATTATAGTATATTATATTATATTATATTATATGCCTTCTAAAAACATAGAGTCAAATTAATTAATTTCCTCCTTCCTCCTGGGAACCCTGCAAATTCAACACCCCCCAGCAGGGACAGAGGGGACAAAGCCCCCCTTGCTGTGTCCCCTGGCTGTGACACTCACAGGATGTAGGTGATGACACCCACGCTCCACATGTCCACCTCTGGTCCATAGGGACACCCGTGCAGGATTTCGGGGGCTGGAAGGAAAATTTGGGGGTCAAACACACCCATAGGGGGGTCCCAGTGGAGAAAACCCTGCTGGGCACTGGCAGGTGTGGAGAAAAGGGATAAATGAGGAGAAAAAGGGATAAATACAGAGGAAAGGGGATAAATGGGGAGGAAAAGGGGATAAATGGGGCACGGTCCCAGCTATTCCTGCAGTGAGGCCTCAGGCAGGAAAAACCCCCTGGAATGTCCCTCCCACCCCAATTTTCCTCTCCCCAAAATGTTCCTCCCATCTCTCCCACCCTAATTTTCTTCCCCCCAGAATGTCCCTCTCTCCTTCCCACCCCAAAATGTCCCTCCCTCTCTCCCATCCCAATTTTCCTGTCCCCAAAATGTCCCTCCCTCTCTCCCATCCCAATTTTCCTGTCCCCAAATGTCCCTCCTTCTCTCCCACCCCAATTTTCCTGTCCCCAGAATGTCCCTCCATCCCTTCCACCCCAATTTTCCTGTCCCCAAATGTCCCTCCCGCCCCGGTCCCCCTCCCCGCTCACCGCAGTACCCCGGTGTCCCACACACGGTTTTCATGGTGTCCTGTTCATCCACGATCTTGGAGAGCCCAAAGTCACCTTGCAGGGACACAAGGGAGTGGCAGTGCCATCAGGGAGGGGCACTGGGACCCCCAGTCGTGCCAGGACCCCTGGCCAGGTCCCCAACCCACCGATTTTGAGGGGTGCATTGGGGGACAGGTCAGCGTAGAGCAGGTTCTCCGGCTTCAGGTCCCGGTGCACGACCCCATTCTCGTGCAAATACTGCAAAAAAAAAAGGAAAAGCGGGGTGTGAAAAGGAAAGGAACGGCCTCAGACAGAATTTGGGAGGTGGCAGCAGCGACTGGGGACCTGTCACAAACTCGGGACCAGCTCAGGAACAGCCACCGCTGTGGAGGATCCGTTTCCAGTCAGGAGTTCCTGGTTTTTAAACCCTCCCGTTGCCATGGGAACTCTGGGATGCAGAGCAGCCCTGACCTTCCTCCATCCTCCTCTTCATCACCCCTTAAGAGCAGATCCATCTTCTCCCAGTGGTGCCTTTGGGAGGCCAAGGGCAAGGGGAGAAATGAGGTGTTTGGGATGGGGGCAGCTCCAGGTGCTTCTCCCCAGGGATATTTGGGATGGGGACAGCTCTGGGTGCTTCTCCTGAGGGATATTTGGGATGGGGACAGCTCCAGGTGCCTCTCCTGAGGGATATTTGGGATGGGGGCAGCTCCAGGTGCCTCTCCTGAGGGATATTTGGGATGGGGACAGCTCTGGGTGCTTCTCCTCAGGAATATTTGGGATGGGGGCATCTCCAGATCCTTCTCCTGAGGGATATTTGGGATAGGGGCAGCTCCTGGTGCTTCTCCCCAGGGATATTTGGGATGGGGGCAGCTCCAGGTGCTTCTCCTCAGGAATATTTGGGATGGGGGCAGCTCCTGGTGCCTCTCCTGAGGGATATTTGGGATCAGTGCAGCTCTGGGTGCTTCTCCTCAGGAATATTTGGGATGGGGGCATCTCCAGACCCTTCTCCCCAGGGATATTTGGGATCAATGCACCTCCTGGACCTTCTCCTCAGGGATATTTGGGATGGGGGCACCTCCAGGCCCTTCTCCTCAGGGATATTTGGGATGGGGGCACCTCCTGGCCCTTCTCCTCAGGAATATTTGGGATGGGGGCACCTCCTGGCCCTTCTCCTCAGGGATATTTGGCTGCAGCCCCCCCAGTGCCACACGCTCCCTGTTACCGAAACAGCCTCCAGGATCTGCTTGACCACGTTTGCCGCATCCCGCTCGCTGTAGAACCCCCTCTCCACGATCCTGTGGGCACACGGAGCCTTCAGCCCCCTCCTTCCTCCTCCTCCTCCCCCCAGGATCCATCCCCCTGGAGCTGATCCTCACCTGTCAAAGAGTTCTCCCCCCGTCACCAGCTCCAGCACCAGCGCGATCTCCGAGGGCGTCTCGAAAATCTCCTTCAGCTTGATCTGGAAAATGGATAAAAATGAAATTATAAAATACACAATCACCATGTTATGAATAAATAAAGTAATTAATAAATAAAGGGATAAAAAATGAAATCATAAAAGAAATCATACCCGTATGGAGGAAATAAATAAATAAATAAAATAAAATAAAATAAATAAAATAAATAAAATAAATAAAATAAATAAAATGGGAAAATGGATTAAAATGTGATCATAAAAGAAACAACCACAATGTTATAAATAAATAAATCAAGTAATTAATAAATAAAAGGATAAAATGAAATAATAAAAGAAATCATACCCATATGGAGGAAATAAATAAATAAATAAAATAAAACTGGAAAATGGATAAAAATGAGATCATAAAAGAAATAATCACGATGTTATAAATGAATAAAGTAATTAATAAATAAAGGGATAAAATGAAATAATAAAAGGAATCATACCCATATGGAGGAAATAAATAAATATATAAAATTAATAAAAATAATAAAATTAATAAAATAAATAAAACTGGAAAATTGATAAAAATGTGATCATAAAAGAAACAATCACAATGTTATAAAGAAATAAAGTAATTAATAAATAAAGGGATAAAATGAAATAATAAAAGAAATCATACCCATGTGGAGGAAATAAATAAATAAAATAAAACTGGAAAATGGATAAAAATGTGATCATAAAAGAAACAATCACAATGTTATAAAGAAATAAAGTAATTAATAAATAAAGGGATTAAAAATGAAATCATAAAAGAAATCATACCTGTATGTAGGAAATAAAAAAAAAATTTAAAAAAAAAGTAAGGGAAAAGAAAAAATAAAAGAAAAAAGGGAAGAGAAGGGAAGGGTGACAAGAGGGATTTAGGGATGTGGGATGTAGGATATGGGATTTGGGATGTAGAATGCAGGATGTGGGGAGGAAATTATGAGTCTGACTCCATGTTCTTAGAAGGCTAATTTATTATTTTATGGTATTATATTCTATTAAAAAACGCTATACTAAAACTGTACTAAAGAATAGAGAAAGGGTACTTACAGAAGGTTTAGCAAGATACTAATGAAAAACCCAGACTCTCCAGAGTCCCACACAGCTGGCTGTGATTGTCATTAAATAAAACCAAGTCACATGTTGGATAAACAATCTCCAACCCACATTCCAAAGCAGCAAAATGCAGGAGAAGCAAGCAGATAATTCTTGTTTTCATTTTTCTCTGAGGCTTCTCAGCTTCCCAAGGGAGGAAATCCTGGCTGAAGGGATTTTTCCAGAAAATGTGACAGTGACAATGCAGGAATGCTGTGCTGGGAGGAGACTCTGACCACCAGGGAGGGTGGAAAGGGTTATTTCAGTGCAAACATTTCCTTCCTCTGTTTGTTTGGTTTTTCCTCACTCTTGGTTTGTTTTCACCTGAATTTTTTTGAATTTTTTGCAGCAGGCCCCACTCCCTTAACACAGATTAAAGATGAATCTGGGAATGTGCAGAGCCCTGATCCTCTTTACCTCTCTGAGCTTGTTTGGCAGAGGAGCTCCTTGAGAGCTTTGGGATTTTGCAGCTCCATGGGCACCTCAGAGTCCTGTGCAGTGGGATGGATCCTGATCCTGCACACCTGGCATGGATGGATCCTGATCCTGCACACCTGGCATGGGATGAGGGAGAGCCACACACACCCCGTGGGGTCACAGCCACTCTGGGATCAAGGCTCTGGAAATGCCCTGCAGCAGAAGAGGCACCAAACCCTTGTTTTCCTCCTGACTTTTTGTGATTCAGCTCCCACACGAGCCCTTTGTGTCTCCACAGCCCATCTGGAATTAACAATTCTCTCTTAAAGCAACATCCAAATGCAATTTTTTTCCTTTTTTTTTTTCCCCACTTTTTAAATATTTTTTTTTTTAATGGAAACCCAAGAATTTCATGCTTCTTAAGACTTTTGTGACACTGCGAATTTCATGGGGCTTTAATCATTCCCTTCCCAGGCTGGGTGACAAGCCTTGATCCCCTGCGGGGTGAGAGACACTATGTGGCAGCTTATTGCATTATAATAATACACAGAGCACTATAATTTTCCTATTAACTTCAAAAGTTTACAATCCTATTATCAGCCTCTGCCGAGGTCGGTGCCGCACGATAGCAGCAATAATGGAGCAGAGCTGCTCCTCTTCAAACATCACTTGAACGTGGGGATGAGCAGAACCCCATGGAAAGCTCGGGGATTTAAATATTCCAACAGGATGGATCCTCCTCTGTGGCTCTGAGGAGAGGGGAGGGTGGAAATTGGATTTTCTGTGGTGTTCCTGATAACACATCAGAGAGGAGCCTCTTCCCATCCACCTGGGCTGCTCCAAGGGTGTGATTCCCATCCCTGCGTCTCTCCAGATGTGCTGGGATGGGGAAAATGCCTCCATGGAAGCACCAAATTGTCCCAAAACCACTGAATCACCCCAAAACAGCCCACACCGAGCTGCCTGAGAGGTTTAGAGACAACCTGTCCCCAGTGCTTTGGCCTCTTTATCTCTGGTTTTGGGATCGCTGGGATTTCTCTTGGCTTCATCTCTTGACGTGAAGATTTTGGGTTTCTCCAGAGAGCAAAACTCCGAGGATGGGCTGGGAGAAGCTGTGCCCAGGGTTTGGGGGATGCTGCAGCCTGGGGCAAGACAATGTCCCAGTGATGTCCCATTGATGTCCCAGTGATGTCCCATTGATGTCCCAGCGATGTCCCAGCGATGTCCCAGCGACGTCCTGATCAAATCCCAACAGGAGCAGGGCCTGGCCCAACCCTCAGCCCCACAGCAGCTCCCAGGTGGCTTTTTCTGTGTCATTTCCTTAACTCAGGTGCTCTCCAAGATCCTTTCCAGAGGAACCATGCAGTTGGGAATGCCCCTTTTTTGGGAGGCCCCTGGCATTCCGGAGGGGCTCTGCTGGCCCTGGCTGGATTAGATCAGCTCCAACCCCACTCCTGTTATCCCTGGAGTGCTGAGTGGGCAGGACACAGCCCCAGCCCTGCAGCCCTGGCCTCCCCTTTTATCTCCCCTTCATTCCAGCCAGGCAATTTTCCCTGGGATTCATTTGATCTCCTCGATGGAAATTGCCTGCCTGGTGGAAATCTCAAGCCAGGGTGTGGGAAGGGGGAGGACGAGGGGGTCCTCGGGCTTTGGATGTCAGAGCTGGGAGCTCAAAGGAGCTGCAAGGAGCAGGAATTTCACGTGGCAGAGAGAGGGGGCATCACCTGGATGCTGTGAGTGAGGCAGGGAGGGTTCAGGGGGTGCAGGCAGGGTTTTCATGGGGTGACGCCTTCGCTCTACACCAGGACAGGATGAGAACGAGGACACTGCAGCCCTTCCCACAGCACCAGGCTGAGTTAAGGGCAAACCCAGCCCCAGCACCCAAAGGGAGGTGGCAGCCGTGTCCCCAGGGTCCTACTCACGATGTTGGGGTGCGAGAGGCGCAGCAGGACCCCGATCTCCGTCCTCACGATCTTTTTGTCAATCTGGGAAGCAGAGCTTGCGTCACCTGTGCTGCCAGACCCGCCCCTGGCTCCCCACATTACACCCAGCACATTTTATGGCTGTCCCAGAGCCCACCCCCAGCCCAAATCCCAGCGCTTTGTCCATGTGGGACCCCCAGATCATGGGAGCAATGCCCGGTGCCAGCCCCACACCCGTCCTGGTGCCAAGGGGCGGGGAGGAGAGACAGCACCAGCCCTGCCCCAGCTCCCTGATGCTCCCCCTTCCCATCCCCAGCCCCTCTCACCGTTTTCTTCAGGATCTTGGCAGCGTAGGGAGCTCCCGTGCCCTTCTCCTGGCAGCTGAACACCACCGAGGTGGCTCCCCTGGAGGGCAGAGGGGACGTGAGGCTGGCACAGAGCTGGGGGTCCTGCTCCCCCTGTGCCCCCCAGCAGCACCTTTGGCAGTGCCAGGCCCTGGGAGCTCAGCGTGGGTTCATCCCACTCTTCATGGATCCTGCCTTTCATGGATCCCCCTCCTCCTGCATCCCCAATTCCTGAATTCCCTTCCCGTACCCCATCCCTTCATCCCCACCCCACATCCCCTTCCTGCTGCATCCCCAATTCCTGAATTCCCTTCTTATACCCCCTCCTTCATCCCCACATCCCCTTCCTGCTGCATCCCCAATTCCTGAATTCCCCTCCTGTACCCCTCTCCTTCGTCCCCACATCCTCTTCCTCCTGCATCCCCAATTCCTGAATTCCCTTCTTATACCCCATCCCTTCATCCCCACCCCACATCCTCTTCCTCCTGCATCCCCCAATTCCTGAATTCCACCCCTATACCCCTCTCCTTCATCCCCACATCCTCTTCCTCCTGCATCCCCAATTCCTGAATTCCCTTCTTATACCCCCTCCTTTATCCCCACATTCTCTTCCTCCTGCATCCCCAATTCCTGAATTCCCTTCCTGTACCCCTTTCCTTCATCCCCACCCCACATCCCCCCATTCCTGCATCCCCAATTCCTGAATTCCCCTCCTGTACCCCTCTCCTTCATCCCCACCCCAAATCCCCCTCCTGATTCCCCCTCTCCCGCACCCCCTCCTCCTGCACCCCCTCCCGCATCCATCCCGGCTTTCCAAGTCCATTTTAATTAAACCCGAGTCCCACGGGGGGTTTAAATCCTTAAGCGGCTTTCACGACGGGACGGAGCCGCCGCGGCGACAGCAGCGACACCGCCGGGGCGCCATCCCAGCCCATCCCCGTCACCAGACACCGCCAGGTGACACCGCTGGGGTGACACCGGCACCGCCACCGCGTCCCCGCAGCCCGCGGCCATCTCAGCCCGAGTTAATCGCGTTTCCCGATCGCTGGACGGTGAAATCAGCCCAGCGCTCCCGGCCGCTCCGGGGCTCATTTGCAATTCCATCTCTCCCTGCCTGGCTCCTGGAGCACATTAATCCCTGCCCCCGAGTCATCGGCCGCGTTTTACCGCACTTTGGCTTCGCCTTCTGGGACGGAGCTCAGGCTGTGCCTGGAGGTGCCCGGCAAGATCAGAGCCCCAAAACCAGCGATTTTCACACCAAAACCTCCCCTGAGCCCACCGACATCCCCTCAGGCAGCCCCTGCGCTCCCGGGTGCTCTCCTGAAAGGGGGATTTGTCTCCAAACCCAGAGCAGATTTTGCAGCTCATCCGGCTGAACTTGGGAACGGCGTTCCCATGGCAACGGCGGCGCTGGGTACCACTCCGGGATGCTGCGGGATCCCCAAGCTCCGACCCTGCCCAGCTCCAAAATTTCCTCCCTTTTGCCAAACGTTCCCCACGAAACTTCAGTTTACACATAAAAAGTGATTTAGAAACGAATTGTTGCAAGCTGGGAGGGGAGAGGAGCGGCGGCCACCACCACCTGCTGCAGCTCAGGAAAAAGGGTAAAAGCTGCAATTTGACCCCAAAATGGCATCGCTGCTGCTACGACCGCCACAACAACGCCCTTCCAGCGGGAGAAGCCACCGGGTTATCCTTGGAATTTCCCAGCTGGGCTGGTCACGGGGCAGGACCCTCCACCCCCTCTCCAGAGCTGAATCCCAGCCAGGATCTGTCGCCTCTCACCCTCCCTTTACATTTTTTTCCGCACGGCCAATTCGCAGCCTGATTCCCGCCGCTAACGAGATCATTTAGGAGCGCTCGGCTCGGCGTTTAGGAGGGCTCGGGGTGGCTCCTGTGCCCGCTGTGCCCGCGGCGCTGCCCCTCACGCGTCCCCAATTAGGGCAGCGCTCGGAATTCGCCACGCCTCGGCCCCGCCGGCCCCCGCAGCCGCCGCTCAGGGCCTCAAATAAATATCCCCAATCAGCCTTGCCTGCCACGGGAGATAATTGCATTTGCTTTCCAGATGAACTGGAAAATGTCGAACGATGGGATTTGCCGAGAGAGCCTGGAATGTGCGGCCGGGAGCAGCCCCGGGCTGGGTCCTCCCCGCTGTCCCCATGTCCCTCCATCCCTGTCCTGCTCCCTGGGGATTCCTGGCTGGATCTGGGTCCAGCCTTGCCAGGAGAGGCTCTGAGGGAGAGCTGTGCATGGAGAGTGGGCTCCCAGCAGCCCAAATCCCACCCAGATCCCACCACGCTGTGAGTTTGATTTAAATCTGGTGCTGAAACTGGATGGAGGGATGGATGGATGGATGGATGGATGGATGGATGGATGGATGGATGGATGATGGATGGATGGATGGATGGATGGATGGATGGATGGATGGATGGATGGAGGGATGGATGGATGGATGGATGGATGGATGGATGGATGGATGGATGGATGGATGGATGGATTCCAGTGGCTCCAGGCCTGTCCTTCTGTCCTACATCCTTCTGTGCAAAGGTTGGGTGCTGCCCAAGCCCTGGGCTGATGTGGCCACACCTTGATACAAACCCTTAAATTCCTGCTTTCACCAAAACTGCTGCTTTTCAGGATTCTCTGAGGATGGAAACCCAGCCTGAGCCACCAAATCCCCCTGTTCTGAGCCAGGGCTCCAAGGCAGAGCTGCCTCCCCCCATGGCACAGCCCAGAGCCCCCACAAACGGGACCATCAACCTTCCCACTATGGCCCCCTGGCACCCCTGAGGGACACGGGGATCACAGCCCCCAGATGGGCTCTGCAAGCCAAATCCAGAGTGAGAATTCAGGCTCTGGCACTGCCTGGCCTTTGCAGGGGGCTGCAGCAGGCAGGACCCTCTCATTGGCCACCCCCAGAGCTTTGGGGTGCTCAGAGGAGAGATGGGTGCCCCCTGATCCCAGTGCCTTGGACATGAGCAATATCCACCTCCACAGGCCCAGGGACCCCCAGCCCAACCTGCAAACGCCCCGGGAGCTCTGCCAGACCCTTTCTGCAGCGTCACAGCACAGGCCAAGGCCAGGTAACACGAGAGGGGAGGGTCTGTCACCATCCATGCCCTTACCCACCCTTCCCCAGCCCTTCCACATCCGCCCTTCCTGCATCCCTCCATTCTCCCATCTCTACTCATCCATTCCTCCCACATCCATCCCCCCATCCCCTTCCTATCTGTCCCTCCCTTCCTGCATCCTCCCCTGCATCCCTTCACCCCCATTCCCCTTCATCCAGCCCCCCCAAATCCCTCCATCTCCCCCAATCCATCCTCTCTGTATTCCTCACCCCTCCCCACATCCCTCCATCCCCTTCACATCTCTCCCTCTCTCCCTGCATCCTCTCCTGCATCCCTTCACCCCCCCCCCCCATTTCCTTTCATGCCCCCACCCCAAATCCCTCCATCCACCCCCCAAATCCATCCCCTCTGCATTCCTCAGCCCTCCCCACATCCCTCCATCCCCTCCTGCCTCCCTCCATCCCTCTTCCCCCCAGGCCCCATCCAGGACCCGCTCCCAGCCCCGGGGGGCTCCTGCCCCTCCCAGCCCCTCCCCGTTCGCTCTCCCCGCCCGGTACCGTCCCAGCTCGGGGCCCACGACGTAGAAATCTTCCAGTGCCGCCTCCCGGTGGGATCCATCGATCCAGAACTCGCTCTCGCTCTTGGACGACGGCATGGTGGGCTGGGGGCTGCCAGCTGCCTCCAGCTGCTGGGAAGGGGAAAGGGAAGGGGAGCCCCCGGCATGGATCGGCGCAGCCCCCCCGCCTCACCCCCACCCAAATCCCCCCCGCGCTTCCCCGAGAGCCCAGATGGCTCGGGAAAAACCAGCGCTAGGGATTATCGAGCGCCGCGGAACCACAAATCCCCTTCCCACCCGGCACGTACGATGCCTTTGCCGAGATAATTCCCCCCTCTGTGGGATGTTTTCCCCCCTCCCCGGCTTTTCCCACCACTCCCTCCTCCTTTTCCCACCCCATTCCCACCTGTTTGGGTCTCCCCCGGCTTTGCAGAGCCCGCGGACCGGTTCGCACCCCAATTCCTGCAGCCTCCCCCCTTCCCCAGCCCTCCTCACGCCCCCGGTAATTTTGGGGTGGGGTCGTGGCCCGGCACGTACCATTACCTGCGGCGCCGCCTCATCCCCGCCGCGGGGTGGCCGTGCCGGGGGTGGGCACGGGGGGTCCCGAGCCCGCGGGGCCGGTGCTGAGCCTGCCCTAGAGCCCCCCCGGTGCTCCCCAAATCGGGGCGTCACGGCTCAGCTGCTCCGGGGGCGCTTCACGGGGCTGGGAGGAGGCGGGGATGGGAAGATGGAGGGAGAAAGGATGGGAGGACGCGGGAATGGAGGGATGCAGGGATGGGAGGAAGGATGCAGGGATGGAGGGATACAGGGATGGGAGAACTCGGGAATGGAGGGATACAGGGATGGGAGGATGGAGGGATGCAGGGATGGGAGGATGGGAGGATGGAGGGATGCAGGGATGGGAGGATGGAGGGATGCAGGGATGGAAGGATGGAGAGATGCAGGGATGGGAGGACGCCGGCCAGCACGGATGCAGCTGCCAGGATGCCGGGATGGGAGGATGCAGGGATGCCGGGACACCGGGCAGCACCGGGAGGCGGCGATGAGAGGCTGCCGGGCTGCCGGGGAGCGGCAGAGCAGCGCTGCAGGGAGAGAGGAAGGTGGGGATGCGGGGCCGGGGCTGCGGAGCACCGGGACCCTCCCCGGCAGCATCAGCGGCTCCCGCCTGGCTCGGCCGTGCCACCCCCCGGCCCGGCGCCGCCACTGCACCCCCCCGCCGCCCCCCCGGGGCTACGGGACCCGCGCGGGGCTCGGGGGGAGCCCGGGCGGCCCCCACCCCCCGCCCGCACCGGCCCCGCGGCGGGGGCACCCGGGAGCACCGGAACCCCCCGGTGCCGCTGCCCCCGCCCCGCAGCCCCGCACGCACCGGGGCCGGGCTGTGCCCCCCCCCCCCCCCCCCCCGAGCAGCCGGAACCGGGAACCCCCCCCGGGTGCCGGGGGGCGCGGAGCGGGGGGCGCGGGCGCTGCCCGGAGCGGCCGCACGGTGACGCCGTCGCCCACCGGATGGGAACGGGGGGGGTGGGGGGGACGTGGGAAGGTGGGAGGGGACGGGGAGGGGATGGGATTGGGATTGGAGAGGGATTGAGTTACGGGCCTGGAGTGGGAATGGGCTGGGGATGGTGGGAATGGGCTGGGAGTGGCACTGGGAATGGCACTGGGAATGGCACTGGGAGTGGTGGGAATGGCACTGGGAATGGCACTGGGAATGGCACTGGGATTGGCACTGGGAATGGTGGGAAAGAGACTGGGAATGGTGGGAATGGCACTGGGAGTGGTGGGAATGGTGGGAATGGTGGGAACGGCACTGGGAATGGTGGGAGTGGCACTGGGAATTGCACTGGGAATGGTGGGAGTGGCACTGGGAATGGTGGGAATGGCCCTGGGAATGGTGGGAATGGCACTGGGAATGGCACTGGGAATGGTGGGAATGGCACTGGGAATGGCACTGGGAATGGCCCTGGGAATGGTGGGAATGGCACTGGGAATGGCACTGGGAATGGCACTGGGAATGGTGGGAATGGTGGGAGTGGCACTGGGAATGGTGGGGCCCGGCTGGAGGAGGGGGATGAGCAGTGGAGGTGGGGGGGGTGAAATGGGATCAGGGGACCGGGCATGGGTGGGTTTAGGGTGGGATTGGGATTGGGGTGGGGCCAGGAACAGGGAATGGAGATGGGATGAGATTGGGCAGGGCTGGGACTGAGGCTGGGATGGGAGTGAGGATGGGGTTGGATTGGGGTGGGGTTGGGGATGAGATGGGAATGGGGATGGGATGGGGATAGGGCTGGGGTGAAACTTGGATTGGGGCTGGGGCCAGGAACAGAATCAGAATGGACACGGGATTAGAGAAGGAGATGGGATGGGGCCAGGGATGGGGTGGGAGTGGAGATAGGGCTGGGAAAAGGACAGGAATGAGGCTGGAATGGGGCCAGGAACAGAGTGGGAGTGGGAATGGGGTTGGGGTGCTGCTGTCCCTGTGTCTGGGAGCCTGTGGGGTGTTGTATTCCCCATAGCAAGGGAAGCAGGAAACACCTCCTGAACATCCAGGGGCAAGGAAACAACAGATTTTTATGTTTTTCTATTAAGAGTTGGAAATAAGGAGAGCATCCCATAGGACAGTGACCTTCCAGTGGGACTGAGGGGTAGACAGGCCCTGAGGATGCTTCAGGACCCCCCAAATCCCTCAGCACAAACAGGAGACCCCCCAAAAGGCCCCGCCATGAACAAAACGTTTTCGTTGTCATGGGCTCCCCGAGTATTTATTAGAATATTTTATCATATCTGAGGGAGGCAAACTCAGCCCTGCTTGATCTCCTCCAGTTGCAGCTCCCTTTTGAAAGGGATGTTCTCCGTGCAGGGAGTGACCTGCTCCATGAATAAATTGACTCTGCCTCCGTTCTCTCCCTGTCCTGGAATGTTGTGGAGACAAGGGTGGGCTGCAGAGGCTGCTTTGCATAATTAATATTTATAACAAGCACAATCCCCCCCGTTCATCCCCAAAGAGTGGGGAGCTGTGTTGGCAGCTCCTTCCCTTTGGAAATCTCATAATTGGGCTCCTAACGAGGGGTCCAAGCCCCCCTGGCACCCATGGGCACCCATGGGTGGGCACGGGAAGGGGCACGGAGCTGGATCAGCCCGGACAGAGGGAAATGGGGATGGGAATGGGGCAGCCCCCGACCCCTGCGAACCCCAAAACCCCCGTGAGTTGGGGGTGCCCTTCGCAGGTGCTGTCCCCAGCCAGGACACGTTCCCGAGGGGCAGATCCAGCGGCTGGCAGCGGGAATTGTCCCATTCCCTGCCGGGCTGGTGGGACGCTGGGGCTGGATCCGCTCCTCCAGCCTTTTGTCTGCGGGAGAGGAATTAATTATTTTGTTCTCTCATTACCCCGGACTAAAAAATCCATTTCTGAGCAGCATAAATTTAGGTGCCTGAAGTGGCTATTTTAACATCCCGGGAAACATTTCTCTCCCTCCCTCGCCCTTTTCCCAATCATTTCTGTCTCATTGGCAGCCATCGATGTTCCGGATGAAGCACAAGATGGAGGGACATTATCCAAACCCGCCGAAACGGCCCTTCCTGGGTGGAAAATGAGATGGCGAGGCTGAAACGGGGTCCCCACGGTCCCCCCAAACCCCCAAACCCCTCGGGCTGGGGGTCTGGGGCAAATCCCAGCGCGGGCAGAGCAGAGTCTGAGAGCGGCCCCGCCAGGGACCGGCTGCCGCCGTGCGCTGCTCAATTGTTTGGAACATAAAATGGAAATTAATACATGGGGTGACCCCCCCCCGGCATCCCCCCTTCCCCCCAGCGCCGCTCGCCTCGTTAATTGAACGGCGCGAAGCAAATGAGGTCAGAGCTCACTTGAGCCAGACAAGGACACGGGAACACGCGCGGCTGCCGGCGAGGCAGGGCTGTACCTGCCCGTGTTTAGCATTCCTGCCGGGATCCGCTCATTAAAAACCTAAAAGGCGGCTTAAGCATCCCATTAGAGCCGAGCCGGGCTCCGGAGCCTTCCCTCGCCGACGTTTGCGGGGAGAGCCGGGCACGGGGAGGGGGTTTGCAGTTCCTGCCCCATCGCCGGCTCTTTGGGGGGCTTTGGAGCTCCTCTGGGGGTCCCTGACGATGCCAGGGGCAGAGGGTGAGCGGGGCAGGGGAGGCGTTGGAGAATCCCAAACCCAGTGCCTGGGTCAGGCTCCTGCTGCTGGGGCCGCCCAGGGCCAGCCCTGCCCCACCATCCCCTCTCCTTCCAAGGAGATTCCCTCAGCCGGGCTTTGGGAACAGCTCCCACGCCGTGCCTCAGTTTCCCCAGCTCTGGCAGGGCCTTGGCTGTGGGTGCTGACCCCTCCCATTTTCCAGGTGTCCTCAGGGATGTTCCTGGCTCCATCCCCAGCTCTGGGGTCAGACCCTGCGGGTGCTGCTGCAGCCCTGCCTGGCCATGGATCACCAGGATTTTGGGAAGAGGTGGCACACAAGGATCCTGTGGGGGCCGTCCCAGTGTCCCCTCACCCAGGACAACCCAAGGGGCTCCGTGCCAGGGCTGTGGGCACCAATCCCGTGGGAGGCTCCATTCCTGTGGCACTGGATGCTGTCCCTGCTCCAGGGGCCAGCTGGGGACCCCACTCCTCATGTCCCACCCCAAACAGGACCCCAGCAAGTGACAGGCACTCCGAGCCACCCCAGGACTGCTCAGTGCCCCAGCCAGGAGCACCCACACTTCGAGGCCTCTCTCAGGTGGCACCTGAGAGCCACCTTGTGCCACCTTGTGCCACCTTGTGCCACCTTGTGCCACCTGCCCGGGGCTTTGGCTTCCCCAGCCGCTCCATCATCATCCCAAGGAGCAAACCCAGAGCCTACCCAGCATCTCCTCTTTCCAGAGGAGGCTCAGGCATCCAGCATTCCCTCTTTCCCAGCATCTCCCTACATCCTCCTCCACTTCCTCCCTCTTCCCTTTCTCCCTCTCTTTTTATTTCTTTCTTTTTTTTTTTTTTTTTTTAAGACAAGAAATGAGTTGTCTTCCCGCAGATGTGACTAAAAGCACTCTGGAAATGTCAGCCACTGCTGGAAAGGGACCCAGATAACATTTAGCTTTAGGTAAGAGAGTAGATTTTCTCTGCACTAATTCATATTTATAAGCTCTCGTGTTCCCGGGGAGAGCGCGGCGCTGATGGCACTCGCTGATTGCCAGCGCGCGGAGCAGGGAATTGTTTTCATATCCGAGATTAAAGAGTGGTTTCTGCTCCCAGTGGCACCTGTGTATTTACACTGGTCATTCTCAATTCATTCTTATAAGATTAAGACTGGAAATGGGAAATGGTTATAAAGTGCTGAGCCCGGAGGGGTCGGGGGACGTGACGGGGACGGGGCAGAGCCCGGACTCTGCACCAGGAGCAGCCACGGGGGCTCTGCTCTCCCTGGGTGGGGAAAGTCTGTCCAGAGGGAAATTCCTCATCCAGATCCCATGGGATGGTCACTCTGAGTGACTCCAGCAGGGATGGATGGGGATGGACAGGGATGGTTGGGGATGGATGGGGGCAGAGCCCAGACCCTGCACTGGAAGCAGCCCGGTCTGAGCAGGGGCACAGGGGCTCTGCTCTCCCTGGATGGGAAAAGCCTGTCCAGAGGGAAATTCCTCATCCAGATCCCAT